GAGATCACACATACTTCTCTAAATTGAATTTTTAGATGAGAAATGGTTTCCACTATTTTCTTTGTCTAACTGTGTAGGAAGTTCTGAACAGAGCATAAAACTACTTACTGTACACATTTAAATTTCTACTTTTCTTCTTTGGCTCAATATAATTAAATAGGAATCCAGGGTATGAACCTTGATGGTATGTTGTAATTTTATAAAATGTTGTTTTCTTTTTGTTGATTTAGCTAGCATTTTGTGATCATAACTATCAAGCATTGAGGCAGAACTGGATTCATGCTGGGACTCCAAGGGGGAGGACAGGCAATGAGAAAAATAAACACTCAGCAGCTAGGTTCAGGAGGGCTACAGTGGCTGATGACCCCAGCCAGAAAATTTATTAGTATGATAACGCCTTACATACCCTTAAATGGGGAAGCAGAAGACAAATCAGTAAAGAGCACCAGACAGCAGAATCATGGGAGCTCGAGTCCTTCTAGTAGACAGCATTTCACATTTGACCACAACTGTAGAGGGAAAATGTCATGTTCAAGCCCTGGCCTCAGGACCACTGGAGCTCTTGTGACAGACCATTGCTTGCATGATACTGCAGGGAAAAAACAAAACAAAAACAAAAAACACAACACTCCTTGTTTTCAAACTCTGATCTTAAGGAAGCATACCCATTTAATTGAGTTATTTTTGTTATATCTTTTGGAATTGTGTTTCATAAAAGGATTTTGCACATGAAAATTTTTAAAATGACTTTTGGGTACTTTCTTAAAGTTATTCCAAATTATATAGTGAGATTTTTTTAATATGGCATTTCATGGACTTTGTTTGTAAATTAGGCAGGAGGTATCAGGTTCTATGTTTAAAGTATAAATAAATTTAACATCTTGATTTAATAACTAAGTTGTCATGTTTTCATTTGGGAAATTCAGTGTCTTGAGTCAAATGGGTGAGAACATAGCATCAAATGTAGTAACAAAAAGATTTTAAATATTAAATTGTAATCTAGTCCTAGCTGAATATGTAGAATAGTTAACTTGATTATGTACAGTTCTAAAACTGAGTAAAAACACTTTGGTAAAGTTCTGTTGTGAAACTTTTAGAAAAGAATATAGGTAGTTAAGTATCATTCATTTTATTAAAATTATTTTGCGTGGTGTTTTAGAATGCTTAGAAGTGTAACAGTAGAAAATATTCCACTTCAGTAATATAAACGGTTAAACACACCACTCCTTATAAAATAATTTATGGGAGTAAATAGATAGTTCAAAAACTATGGTTGTTAAGATACATTGAAATGCTCCTTTTTTGGTGACTTAAATACATTATTGAGAATCTATAATGTACCAAGCTGTATCCTAGTTCTTTGGGATTCAGGTAGGAACAAGACAGGTCTGATTTCTGCACTTCTCAGAATTTGACGGGAAACTGTGCTGCGAACAAAACCACATGTAATTATATGGGTTTGTCAGAATTATAGAGTACTATGAATATATGTATATTAAGAGAAATCCTAATTGGAGCAGCCAGTGAGGTTGAAATTTTGCTTCTGAAAGATGAGGTGAATTATCTGTGCAAAGGTGGTTGTCTATAAACAGTGGTAAATAGGAGAGGATTTTGTGTCAAGGATAGGGAAGGACTGGGTGGTTAAAGCTACAAAGGTTGGTGTAGATTGAATCCAGCAGTGTATTAAAAGGCTTAAAATTTACGTTTTAATTACTTCCTTTTGGGTCATTGCCATGGTTTGGATCTGGAGTGTCCCCCAAAGGTTCCCATCCCATGGTGCTATTGGCAGGTGGCAAAGCCTTTAAGACATAGGGCCTCATGGGAGATTTTTATTGAGGGCATGCCCTCAAAAGGAGTTCTGGTACCTTGGTCTCTCTCTTGTCCTGGATATGAGGTAAACAGCTCTGTCCTGCAGCGGGCTTTTGCTATGGCATGACATTAGAGGCCCAAAGTAGTGGGGCAATTAATTGGCCCTGTATGAAAACTTCAAAACTGTAAGCCAAATTACTGTTGTCAGGTATTGTAATAGTAAGAGGAAGCTAACAGTTATAGATGGGCTACAATGATAATCTGGGCAAGATACGATTATAGCTAAGATGCATTGCCAAATAGGGGGGAAAGATTGGGTACATTCAAGAAATAATGTGAGAGGAGGAACTGGCTCGTTACTATGAGTCTCTGCTGCCACTTTCAAGCTTATATTTATATTGGCCTAATGTTTCTCCTAGTCATTCTTTTTCTTCGTTTTTTTTTTTTTTTAACAAACAAAAAACTTTTACTAATACTTTGCTGGTATTCTAGAAGGAGGAGTCTTGAAGGGAATAGACATAGTAATACGATGAAATAGTCAGTCTGCTATGTTGGCATTGTTGTTGTTGTGTAGTGACTTTCATTTAGGTACTTAGTTTAAGTATTTCTCTGTACCTGTGGCAGTGCTGCACGCTTCCTAGTGTTTCGTGGTCGACAGCTTAGGAAACCCCATATATTTATGGTTTTAAAAATATACTAGCTAATTTTCTGTATTTTCTATTTCAGGTAAATTTTTTAACTTAAACTCCTATTGGAATATCTATTATATTTCATTCTTTCTTAAAGAATAATTTGAAACCAATTGGCATCTTTTTTATATTAATGATTCTTACTATAGAGATATGTCTTCAATATATTTTAAATGACTTCTATGGTATAATTTTATGATTTCCTCATATCTGAACATCTTATTTTACCTTTAAATGGCTATTACTACTATCTAGGGAAAGTATTGCTCTAATATATAGCCACTCAGAAAATTCATAATGAAATCACTATTTATTAGCATACTTTAATTGTAATGTAACTGACTGATTTCTGTTTTCCCTTTTATTCACTCACCCTTTGCATTTCTGATTTTCTACTTTGTGAAGTTCAATCTTTCAGTTTTCTCTTTTAAAGAGTATTTTTCTTTTTAATGTCTACTGATTATTTTTTCCCTCCCAGTTCTTCACCTTTCCCCCTTCCTTTCAGTTTCCTTAGAAGCTTTTGCTGGATTCACAGTGGTTTTCTGTTTCTCATATTTTCTGTCTCCCTTCCTTTACCCTCCCCTTCTGTTTTCCCTCCTCTTTTTTGGTAGGAATCAGACCCAGGTCCTAAAAGCAGCTGGACAAAGTACTCTCCTCCGGAGGCACGCCTGGAGCTCCTTTGCTCTTTAAGGCTTTCTCCCAGCATTATTGTGTTGCACTCCTGATTCCTTCTCCATTTCCTCCTCCCATGCCCTCCTTCTCCCCCTGTCTCAGTGGCTCTTTGGAACTTATTGCTTATGCTTGTTGAATTTGATGCCTCTTGGTCATGGAGGTGGATTTCCTAAATGCTAGTTCTTGATTTGTTTATATTTGAGATTAGAGGGCAAGATTAAGTACTAGCTTTTCTCTCACTCAGATAAAAGCCTCATTTTCTACCCATGATTAAGAGGTCTCTTCTACAGGGAATATGGGGAAGTGGATTGTTCTGATAGGTTCCTGTAAACTCTGAGACTTTTCTTCCTGGATCCTGAGTAAACTTGGGTCACCTCCTTGCTTCAGTGACACCTAGCCTGGCCCAACTAACTTCGCAAGGCTTCCCCATGGCAGGGCTTGTTTCATACAAGAAGCGCTTGCATACATTAGCAATCTCCTTTTGTTAACTATGTCTCATTTATTTCATGCTTTAATATCTGGAGTGTTTTCTCTCTTTTGCTTAGGGTTCCTTGGTTTTGTTTTAAAACATCAAAGTACTTTATTGGAACTTTGGGCATGGAAGGGCTTTGATATGAGGAAACAACCCCCTCCCAACGTTTCTGTTCAAAACCAGAAAATAACACAGGACACATCTGTAAGAAACAGTTTAGACTCTGTTGTCTGTAATATTGGAAAGAGCAGAATCCCTCATTTAGTCAGTTGGGGCCAGTCCACTGTTATCCTTTGTTAAATGTCCTCATGCTTCCTCTATCTGTGCATGTGTCTTTAGAATAATGTACCTGAAAACAGGTATGCATTAGGTTTTTCTTAGAAATTCATAAAGAACCCAGGCATGCCTTTAATCCCAGTACTCAAGAGGCAGAGGCAGGTGGACCTCTGTGAGTCCAAGGCCAGCCTGGTCGATAGTGTAAGTTACAAGACAGCCAGGGAAACCCTGTCTCATAATTAAAAATAAATAAATAAATAAATTATATCTAAATCTCATGTTTGAAAATTTCATCAAGTGTAAAGCTAATTATTCAGGGGGCAGAAACAAAAGTCAAGACCATCCTGGTCTGCATAGTGAGTTTCAGGCCAGTCAGGACTACTTAGTAAGAGAGACCTTGGCTCAGAAAGTAAAGAAATGAGGAAAAGGGAAATGAGAAAGAAAGCACAAGGAAGAAAAAATTAGTGAGGATGATTGATAGCTTTATACTATCAAGTTATAATTAATCTCAAAAATAAAAGGAGTAACTAGTAAAAATAAAATCTGAGCTTCCAGGCCATTCAAAACTACACAGTGAAAACCTCTCTCAACTCCCTTACACACACAGTTTGATTTCAATTCTGTTTTCACATGTTTGGTGGAATTTACCAGTGATCTGATTTTGAATGTACAGGAGAGAGAGAGAGAGAGAGAGAGAGAGAGAGAGGGGGGGGGGAGAGAGAGAGAGAATATATATGTGATTAATGTAATCTTTACACTTTATATAAAGTCTTCATTTTTTAATTTCCTCTTGGGTAGTATCTTCAAAGTTAAAAAGAAAGCAAGTGAGTTTTAAGTATGTGTGTATTAAGTGTAGTCTTATAAAACCAAAGCTGTATTTAAACATTCATCCAGTTCATGGGACAGCAATTAATGTAAACTCAATGTTTAACAATTTATTTTTTTTATATAAGATTTTTCAAAAGAGTTTTGCTAATTTTTTTTTTATTTGTACTATGTACTCTTACTCCAATATGACCTGGAATTTGAGTATTCCTTTATTTATCTATTCACTAATTCTTACCTGGCTTTTATCTCATCAGAAATGCAGCAAGTTTTGGAAAACCTTACGGAGCTGCCCTCATCTACAGGAGCAGAAGAAATAGACCTGATTTTTCTCAAAGGGATTATGGAGAATCCTATTGTGAAGTCACTTGCTAAGGTATGGTAGTTTATTCATAAGCTTACTGAAGGACTTTGAAAATTGTTTGTGTGGAAGTCTTTTCAGTTTCAGTGGTCACCATTTTATAATTTAGTTGATACACCTTTCTGCATAGTTGGCAAATAACACTTGTCACATAATGAAGTGTTAATGTATGCTAAGATAAGGTTTACTTGCCTCTTTTTATTCTGCCTTTAGAAAATGAGATGATTCTTAACTTTTGATCTATAGTACCTTAAAGCTAGACAAGTCATAACAGCATGGGGTTGACCTGATCCTGTGAAAATGGATTTTGGTTCTGTCTTCACTTTCAACCAGCAAGGTGGTCTGGTTTTTTCCTTTTTTTCATTGTAACTTATACCTGCTTATCGTTTAAATTTGTAATCACTTTTATTTAATTCTTTTATTTTGAAATTTTAGATTTTTATTCCATAACCCTGATACTTTAGATGTGTTTTCTTAATCAACTCTGAAACAGACATTATTAACTCACTTAATACACAACGTTTTTATAGCCATATTTGAAGTTCTGTTTTATTTCACTTGCAGTTTCTTAGTAATTTTTTTTTTTTTTTTTTTTTTTTTTTTTTTTGAACATCAGGGAAGTTCTGTATTTATTGCGTTTCACACCCTGCTGGCTCATACTTAGTTGTTCCAGGTGGCTTTTGCTTTTGGAAAGCCGTTCTGATCATCCTCCAGCCTCTCTTTCATGGACCCACCTTCTCCTTTTTGTTTTGCATTGTACTTCTGGAATGCTGATCTCACCTATGTGGGTTTTCTGTTTATTTTTTATTTCTTTGTGTTTTAAGGTTTCTGGAAACCATTTTTCTTTTTGCATTGGTAAATATGAGTTAATATGGCTCATGATGAGATCATGTGGTAAGAAGAAATTTTCATAATTTTATTTATTTAATATTGCTATATTTTCATAATATACCCTGTACCTTAACAACCTACTGTGTTGAGGTTCAGTTTCAAGGCCTGTGGAAGTAAGTAGGAGCTATTTAAGCCCATACTAAAAATGATTTCCCTTGGGCTTCTGTTGGTAACATAGTTTACTTTATCTTATACTGTTGTTCCTTTTTATTGTCTCTGGGTCACTTTTGTCCCTGTTCTCATGTTTAATTTAAGGCTTTTAAGTAGACTTAGACATTTTAACAATATGTGAGATATTTTACAGTATACTTGTAGTTTCCTAAGGTCTTTAAAATATAGTAGAGTAAATAATAGGGCCAAGGGTTAGGGCAGGTATTCTAACCTTGTCTTTTCAGTGTTCTGTTTAACATTGAGTAAAGGTTATTTATGTGTATTTATTCCCAACAACGTCTGTGAGTGAGAAATGGATTTATTTGTGCCACCTATGACAGACTTTCAGAGGATCACCAGATCACCATTCTTAGCAATTGAAATGGTTGGTTTACTTTGAAACACACAAGGAGCAACTGTACTCTTTTTGATTAAAAATAAAGGCTGGGCAGATAGCTCAGAGAGTAAAGTGTTCAAGCAAGAGTACCTGAATGTTCTTGTGTGTTTCACATCCCAGACAAGAACAGGGAGAGAAAATAGAAATGGTTTTAAATGTACTAATCAGAAAATAGATAAGTGTTAGGTCTCAGAAAAGAAAAAGTGAACAAATGGCTGGCTGAGGTGCCTATTTAACACATCAAAGTGGACGCTGGCTTCCAGGTTCCTGCAGCATCTCTTAGCCTCAGGAACACAGAGTCCTTCTGGCTGGCATACCTAGCCACCTACCTCAGTCCTGTGTAGCCCCTGAGGTTCTCTTTCCCCAGCTTCTCTTCCCTGTGTAACTTAGCTGTTTTGGCTACATGGCTTCTGGTCTCCTGGTGTCCTGGCTCACTCTTGGCCCTCTTGGCCCCTGGTCTCCTCTCCTGTCTGCTCTTCTCTTCCTCTTGTGGTCTCCCTGTGCCTTTTTCCCACCTCCTAACACGGCCTAATTCAGTCTGCTGACCTGGATCAATCTAGGCCCTTCCAGATGCTCTATAATAAACCTTCTCAGCCATACCTTGAAGCATCCATGTCCTCATTTTTCATTCAATGAGCAATATAAACTGACAGATTCAAGAGGCTAGGTGAGAGATAAGAAGAAAACGTGTCTAAATCTTGAAATTTAAGTGCAAAGTAAAAATTTTAAAGCAAACAGGTGAGAGAAGAAAGACAATTGGGAAAAGGGTGGGTAGAAATAAAACAGGAATTCTGAAATTCCTAATGAGAATTGAGGGTTTTGTTTGTTTGTTTTCAGATGACAAAAGGGAAACAACAACAACCTTGCATTCCTTTCTAGCAAAAATAACCTTCAAATATTAAAAACACTTTTTTCCAGACAAAGAAAATTAATCTTTATTTATTCTACAAAAAATGCAAGAGGAAGTTCTTCTGACAGAATGACAAAGGAAAGGGACTGTTTATAGATGAACATAAAATAAGCTTTTAAGATGAAGTACTGTCATATAACATTTATACATATTTGTAATGTAAATGTAATAGCTCCAGAAGAAGACAGACTTAGGTATACTGGCTCACACCTTAAAAAGCAGAGTCAAAATCATCTCCAGAAATATCCCCAAATGGTTAGAAATTAAATACTATGCCTTAGTTAGAGTTTCTATTGCTTGGATAATACTCTGACCAAAAGTAACTGGGAGCAAAGTTTGTCTCATCTTATACTTTAAGCTGAACAGTCCTTCACTGAAGGAAGTTAGGACAGGAACTTGGAGGCAGGAATTGAAGCAGAAACCATGGAACACTGCTACTTATTGGCTTATTCTTCCTGGCTTTCTCAGCCTGCTTTCTTAACCCAGGACGTCTTGCCCAGTCATAGCACCACTCATAGTGGGCTGGCCCTCCCATATCAGCCCATTAGTCAAGGAAATACCCCACATGCTTGCCTCCAGGCCAACCTTATGCATTTTCTCAATTGAGGTTCCTTCCTCCCAGATGACTTTAGTTTATGATATGTTGACAATAAACTAATAAGGACAGCTATTAAAAAACCATGAGTAGAGGAAGAAATCATAGAAAATATTTTGAACTGAGTGAAGAAATGCAAGTGTATGACAAAACTTACAATGTGCTACAAAGCAAAACTTAAAAGAAATCTCTGTGTTAGAAAATAACAATGCCAGCAGAGAGGCTTAGAGGTTAAGAGCACTGACAGTTCTTACAGAAAATAGCAATGCCCAAGTGACCAAACGCAATGCAAAATATACAGAAAGAAGTGAGCAATAAAAATGTGGCATAAAATGATAAGGAAAAATGCTACAACTTAAGATAATATATATAAGTAAAATCGATATACCTCCAACTAAATAAAAATTACTGCCTTTGGGTTGTAGTTGTGTGTTTTTTTGGTTTTTTTTTTGTTGTTTTTTTTGTTTGTTTGTTTGTTTGTTTGTTTGTTTTAGGTCACCACAGTGATTTATGAACTGGGCCTGGAGAGATTGGCTCAACAGTTAAGAGCCCTGGTTCACAACATTCTATAACTCCAGTTTGAGGGGATCCAATGCTCTCTTCTGGCTTTACTGGACATGAAGCATGCATGTGGTACACATACATACATACATACATGCATACAAACAAAATATTCATAAAGTAAACATTTATCTTTTTTGTTTTTGTTTTTTTCTCGTTTTCTGAGACCATTTCTCTGTGTAGCCCTGGTTGTCCTGGAACTACCCCATGTAGACCATGCTGGGAGATCTACTCTGCTTTTGCTTCCCAAGTGCTAGGTTTAAACAATTTTGTGACCATGACTGTGACAACCTAAGTGTAACTTTAGTTTCTTGAAAGAGAAGCCTCACGTAAGAGAACTTCTGTAGCTCTGTATCTAGTTTTCAAAATTGGATGTTTGAAATTTAAAACCATTGTACAAAAGAAACTTCAAATCTCATAACCATAAATTCTACCAAACATTTAATGAAGAAATAATACTATTTTTTTCCAGAAAAGGGAAAAGCAAGAAAACACTAATATAAAAAAAAATTTAATTAAAAAAATAGAGTTGTATTCCTGACAAACATAAATGTAAAAGTATTTTTGTTTGTGTTAAAATTAATTTTATGTGTGTTTTTTTCTGCATGTATGTCTGTGCAGCACATTCATGTCTCAATCCCAGGAGTCTGGAAGAAGGCATTGGATCTCCTGAACTGGAATTATAGATGTTTGTAACTTCCATATGGGTGCTGGGAATTGAGCCCAGGTTCTCTGGAAAAGCAGACAGTGCTCTTAACAGCTGAACCATCCCTCTTGCCCCAGTTTTAAAATTTGTAAGAAAATATTAGCAGTTATAAGAGATAAAAACAGTAATAACTCGTTATACTTTCCAGGTTTCTACAGTTACTCTGTGTTGTACACTCACATCTGGGGATTTGGAGCTAGGAACTTCAGATAAGAGAACATGTCTGTCTGGGTCTGGATCACCTCATTCAGTATTGTCATTTATGATTTTACATTAAGTGTATGCTGAATAGTGTTCCATTATGTATGTGCACCAAATTTTCATAATTGATTCACCTGTTGAAGGACATTTAGGTTGTTTTTCATTTTCTGGCTATTATGAATAGGGCAGCTATAAATGTGGCTGACAAAGTATCTGTGGACCAGGGTGATGAGTCCTTTGGGCAGATGCCAATGTACAGCTGACTCTTATGGTAGATTCCTTTTTAGCTTTTGAGGTTTTTCAAACTGATTTCTAGAGTGTTGAACCAGTTTGCAATTCTGCCAAGAGTGAATGAGGGTTACTCTTTCCCTACAAACTTTCCAGTATTTGTTATCAGTTCTTAGCCATTCTGTCTGGGGTGAGATGAAATCTCAAATTTTTAAAATTTTCATTTTCGTAATTCTTTTTTAAGTATTTCTTAGCCATTTTTTATTTCTTTGAGAACTCTGTTTTGATCCCTAGCCCATTTTAATTGGGTTATTTGTTTCCTTGATTCTTTGTGTTTTTTTTGGGGGGGAGTGGGGGATGTTCTTTGTGTATTGTG